CGCTGCAGTGAGGCTGGACAAGCTCTCGGAGGTTGCCAAGGTGAACACTGACGCCATCCGCTTGGCCCAGGAGGAGATCGGTGAGTACCGCCGCCAGCTCCAGTCCAAGACCACTGAGCTCGAAGCCCTCAAAGGGACCCAGGAGTCACTGGAGAGGCAGAGGCAGGACTCAGAGGAGCGCCACCATGCCGATGTCTTGTCCTACCAGGTAACGTGGCACCATGGCAGCATCCCAGACCTGTCCTTTGGTGGGGAGGAACCACCCAGCTGCTGGGGAGGGGCAGTGCTGGTGCTATGGCTTCAGAGATGGTGAAGACCAGCAGCAGATACTCAGGGTTGAGTCTGGAGCTGACCTTCCCCAGCTCCTGGTGGTCAGGTACCCCCAGCCTGAGGTTGCATCCAGACTGTTGTGTCCCTCACCCATGACAGAGCTGTCCCACACATCTGCCTGGCTTTGAGCTGCCCATGATGTTGCTCACAAACGCCACTGGAGTGTGCCCAGGGTTCAGGCTGGGTCTGGTGTCCCAGAGCTGGGAGCTACAGCACAGGGGGCTGCACAGGGTAGTGGCCGTAGACTGAAACACTGTCCCCATCCAGCCTTGGTGGCCACCAGACTCACTCAAGTCCTAGAACAATTCCCAGAGCGTGTCACTGCTGGAGGGAGCTCTGGGAGGGGGCCAGGAGCTCAGCTGGCAGCAGTGCAGCTCTCAGCTGAGGTGGTGCAGGGCTCTCAGGGGAACTGGACACACTGAGACAGTCCCTAGACATGTCCCCTTCCTTCTGTGGCTGCAGACCCCGCCATGAGGACATCCTGGTGTTGGGTGAGCAGTCAGTCCCTCCTCTGGAGACCAGGGGACTGTTCTGTGTCCCCCTGCTCTTGAGGACTGGCTTCCCCATGTCACCAGTTGCTCTGTCTGCCCCAGGAAACCATCCAGCAGCTTGACAGCGAGCTGAGGAACACCAAGTGGGAGATGGCAGCTCAGCTCCGGGAGTACCAGGATCTGCTCAACGTCAAAATGGCCCTAGACATCGAAATCGCTGCCTACAGGTACGGGGGGAGGTGGGATGGGCTCTAGTCCCTAGTGCTGGTGTCTCTGGGGACATTCCTTAAGACCATCCTCCCAGCCCATGATGGGCAATGTCCAGCTGGGTGACCTGGCCCTACACCTGGGTTTACAGAAGGAAGGGTGAGGAAACCTGCACAGTCCAGGGTGGAGGAGCAGGATGATCAGCCTACACCTCAAAAACAGGGCAAGGAGGGAGATGGAGTTGCAGGGCATGGCTGGTAGCTCCTGGTCATGGGAGGAGGTGAGAAGCAATCACTGATTTTCCTGCTCTGGTGTCTTCTTGGCAGAAAGCTCTTGGAGGGGGAGGAATATCGGATTGAGTCTGGTTTTGGGATGGTCTCCTTCCCTGAGCTGGTCCCCAAGGGTCCCAGCATCACCGCCAACATCAAGGTGAAGAATGAGGAGAAGATCAAGGTGGTGGAAAAATCTGAGAAGGAGACAGTGATTGTAGAGGAGCAGACAGAGGAAATCCAGGTGACTGAGGAGGTCACAGAGGAGGAAGAGGCTGAGAAAGAGGCTGAAGAGAAGAAAGCTGAAGAGGAGGAGGAGGAGGAGGAAGAAGAGAAAGCTGAAGTAGAGGGTGATGAGGAGGCCAAGTCTCCTGCAAAAGAGGAGGCCAAGTCCCCAGAGAAACCCGAGTCCCCCTCAAAGGAGGGGGCCAAAACCCCAGCTGTCAAGTCCCCAGAAAAGCCACCAACCCCCCCAAAGGAGGAGGCCAAGAGCCCGGCTGTGAAGTCTCCAGAGAAACCCCAAAGCCCCTCAAAAGAGGAGGCCAAGTCTCCAGCTGTCAAATCCCCAGAAAAGGCCCCGACACCCTCAAAGGAGGAGGCCAAGAGCCCAGCAGTGAAGTCACCAGAGAAACCTGCAACCCCCTCGAAAGAGGAGGCCAAGAGCCCAGCTGTGAAGTCTCCAGAGAAACCTGCAGCCCCCTCAATGGAGGGGGTCAAAACTCCATCTGCCAAATCCCCAGAGAAACCCCCAAGCCCCTCAAAGGAGGAGGCCAAGGCCCCGACTGTGAAGTCCCCTGAGAAAGTCAAATCTCCTGCGAAGGAGGAGGCCAAGTCTCCACAGAAGGAAGCGGTGGGGGCCAAGGAGCCCACCCCCACCCCCTCCCCTCCAAAGGAGCCAAAAGCCCCTGCGAAAGAAGAGCAACCCAAGGAGACAAAGGCTCCCTCCAAACCTGGAGCTGAGGAGGCCAGGAAAGAGGAAGCTCCCAAGAAGGATGTCCCAGCCAAGGTGGAGGAGAAGCCCAAAGAGAAGGCAGCTGCTGTGCCAGAGCCTCCAGCTCCTCAGGTGAAGGAGACCCCTAAGCCAGGCCCCAAATCCATTGAAGAAGGAAAGGCTGAGAAGGAAGCTCCACAAAAACCTAAGGAGGAGGTCAGCAAAGTGGCTGCAAAGGAGGCTAAGAAGCCAAAGGCGGAGGAGAAGGTGGAGGAGCCAAAGAAGAAGGTAGAGGAGCCCAAGAAGGTTGAGGAACCCAAGAAGAAGGTAGAGGAACCCAAGAAGGAGAAGGTTGAGGAGGCCAAGAAGGTAGAGGAACCCAAGAAGGTTGAGGAGCCCAAGAAGGAGAAGGTGCAGGAGCCCAAAGCTAAAGCAAAACCCAAAGATGAGCCCAAAGCCAGTAAAGATGCCACCGAGGCCAAGGCACCCTCCAGCAAGGAGGGCAAAGCCCCAGAGCCAACACCCACCCCAGGGAAGAAATGAGCAGAGCCCCGGGGTGCTGA